CCTCTAACGTCTGGCTACGCCGGCGCGCGTGCGCAGGAGGCCGGGCACGCAGCCGGGGACGGGGGCGGACCTCGGTCCTGGAGGCGCTCGTTGTCGCGAGACCGCGCGGGAGCTCTTAGCAGGGGGGTCGCGCCTCACGTGGGGCCCGGTCTTCATCTCACACCGACCAACATCCAGGAATGTGTCCCGCAGGTCGTCTCAGCCTGAGGGTGAGAAGACAGGGCCCCAGAGGATGAGTGATTTAAGGGCACACAGGTGGCCGGACATTGTAATTCTGGCGGGGAGAGCTCTTCTTTAGAGGAGGAGACGGACCGACAAACGGAGAGGAAATGACAGAAATAGAAAATCACCACTGCGGAACCACCCGGCGAATAACGGATTCAGGCAAAATTATCGGGGGACTGTTGAGGACATCAATCTGGTTTCACAGTGTCACCGCATAGATTACTTACTGAGGAGCAGAGGTGCCTTCACATCAGAGGCGTCACTCCCCCAGGTGGTCCAGCGGAGCATCGCCGCGTGGGACAGACGACGAGGCGCCTTCGGATGTCACGCACGAGCAGGACAGACGACGTTCTCGCCAAAAGTGTGTAATTTGTTCTGTTCACGAGGAAACAGACAAGTCCGCATTGAGGGAACTTCTGCCAAACAGCTGCCCCCACATGTCAATTTTCTGAGAGATTAAGAAGGCTAGGAAATTGTTCTAGAAAAAAAACAAACGAACAAACAAAAAATGATTGGGACAGTTGAAGAAATGTGACTAGAGACTGTATTAGTATTGTAACAACGTAAAATTTTCTGAGGGTACTGTATCTTGGTTATGCTAGAATGGCCTTAAGGAGATACATGCTGAAGTATTTAGAACTGAAACTCTCAAACGGTCCAGAAAAAAGAGACAGAAAAAAACAAAAATATGACAAAATGTTAACGATTGGTGAATCTGAGTTCATTGCACTATCCGTGAAACTTTTCAATAACTTTTTAAAATTTCAAAATAAAAAGGCAGAAAAAGTCCCCACAAGGTCTGCGATGCTCAGTACACAACACCAGCTTGCTTCTTGAACCCATAAGCAAATACCGTTATTTGCCTACTGCTTGTAAGACATTTCGTGTTAATAGGACCACACACCCCCTTCCACCACCTCCCACCCTCTTTCCCTCCCCCTCTCCCCGTTCCCCTCCCCACCAACTGCTCCACAGCATCTTAGAATGTAAAACAAATATATATATATTAATAAATAAATAAACTTTAAAAGTAATTTTTTAAAAGATTTTTAAAAAAGATAAAATAAATGCCCCCAAGGGACTTATAATGTAAGACTTAGACAAATATCTGCCAAATGAGGCAGA